AAAGTGCTGACCAATTCTAGTAGTGAGAATTTCCTCTTTGGGGAGCTTCCTGTATGAATGAAATCACAGGTTTAGCTTCTATCCATATACTTATCAAGGGAGAGAATAGGTATTATATCCTCACAGATGGAAGAAATGAGCCATGGAGAAGATTATATTATGTATCTAGTTTTAGTCAGTGACAGTCAAGATTAGACCTCAGGCTTCCGCCTAGTTCAGCTTTACTCCATTTTGCCCTTTCAGAGCAATTAGTAAGGTTATAGTTTGTTTCCTAAATATCACAGACCCCCAGATTGGGAAGAGGTTGAAGGTAGGAGTGGTGGAGATATTTATAGGTTACAGTCCAAGACCAGGAAAGATAACATGACAAATTTAATTTGCTATCATCTGTTGGCTTCTTCCAGAGGCTGTTTGGAATTCAAGCAGATGTAGCATCTCTACAGCAGCAGCTACTGCTAAGTCAGAGGAAGACTTGTTTTACAAGTGGTTCCTGTTGCTCATCCCTGTGACCACCTTTGGCCTGGGAACATGGCAGGTAATGACCAACATGTCTTTCTTTAAAGTACTGAAGCTCTTGGCTCCACTGCTTTTGGCTCATGTGGGTATACGTGGGTTGGTTACTCACATAGGTCCAGCGTCGGAAGTGGAAGCTGAAGCTAATTGAAGAGCTGGAATCCAGAGTTACAGCTGAGCCCATCCCTCTGCCTGCAGAGTGAGTTAGTCGCCCATCTCCTCTTGCTTCTGGGTCTTGATCAGCCCTGCCTGAGTAACTTATGTTCCATTACATGTTGAGACTGTGGCCTGTGCTAACCCATAGAGTTTCAGAGCAAGAAGGTTCATAGTTACCTAGTCCCACACCCCTGTTTTACAGATGGAAAAACTCAGCTCCAGAAGGATGAAGTAAAGACACACAGCCTTCCCAACTCCACTTTCAGTTAATCCTTCTGTTATACTGACTAATGGAAACCATTCACTGAGGTTATGGTTTAGATGGCTTAATGTTAACAAGTCACTTTTCTCTATGAGGAGTTTTATTTCATTCTTTCCTTACTTACTAGCTGTGTGATCCTGGGTAAGCCACTTAACCCCGATTGCCTCAAAAAAAAAAAAAATGAGGCTCAAGGATCTTCATGTAAAGGGGAATGATGTCCACACAATTCCTTGGAAGGCAGTTTTGCCTGAAGCCACCCCTTATAAGCATTTTATTGCCTTCCCTACAGTCTCATGGAGCTGAAGGACTTGGAGTATAGGCCTGTGAAAGTCAGAGGGCAATTTGACCACTCCAAGGAACTCTATATCTTGCCCCGAACCATGGTGGACCCCGCACGAGAGTCCTGGGATTCAGGCCGGATGTCCTCCACAGTGGAAAGTGGTGCTAATGTTGTCACTCCTTTCCACTGTACTGATTTGGGGTGAGTTGAACCAGTTGGGAACAGGCTGAAGTTATAGGTGCACTTGTAATTAACTTCCCCAGTCTTGTGATATTAACCTATGTGTGAGCCTCCCATTTTAGAATCCTATGATATATAACCAGAAAGTTTATACTCATTAACCTGGAAGCAGCACACTTCTACCCACAAGCACCATTGTTCTATTTGCTGTAGGCCTGATGGCAGTTTCTAAATGACCCTGACATATGAAGTCCACTAACTTGTAATTCCAGTCATCACTAACAAAGGGGAAACAGTTAAGAGAATAATCCAAAGATTGTTTTGATTTTTTTTTTGAGGCTGATTTGTCTCTAAACTGTACTGTATTGTAGATAGACTTTTGGCTCACTTTTTGTCACAACAAAAAACAATCAGAGCTGCAAAGGAATAGAGGTAATTTTATCCAAACCTGTTTGAGGTAGAAAATGAAGTGCCCATGTTAGAAACAGAACAAGGACTTTAACCTGGGTATTCCCCACTGCTCCCTTAGTCATGACTAGAACATCTGAGATAATGGAGAGCCAGCTTCCCAGTGCTTGGGAAAGTAGGTGGTAGATGGTATATGGGACACCTAAGTATAGCTAAAATTTATTCTAATATATGTTCTGGAAAAAGGAATGATCAGATAGGGAAGCATCTGGCCTTCTGGACTTCATCAGCGCCATAGTATAAAACAGGATCACTTAGAAGCAAAGATTTATCCTTTCACAGTACTTTTTTTTCCTTCTGTAAAACTCTAGGATCACAATTCTGGTGAATAGAGGATATGTTCCCAGGAAAAGAATAAATCCAGAGACTCGGCAGAAAGGCCAGGTAAGGAATATTAGTCTATCCTCACTGCACGAAGGAGAGAATTTATTTCAGAGCACGTTGCTCACCTGTATGTTTAAACGGGGGTTGAGAAAATCATCCTTAATTAAAGGATAGGCTTCTCTAGATGTGGAGGAATGTTTTAAAGCCTTAACTGAAAACTCATGTTTTCAATCCCTGTGCTTTCATTTTATCTATTTGAAGTTGTCCTTTGAGGGTCCTTGATAGTTAAAGAATTCTGAACAGGAAAAAAAAGATGTGAATGATAGAAATTTTTTTTTTAATAGATTGAGGATGAAATTGACCTCATTGGGATGGTGAGATTGACAGAAACTCGGAAGCCCTTTGTCCCTGAAAATAAGCCAGAGAAGAACCGCTGGCATTACCGTGACCTGGACGCCATGGCAAAGGTCACAGGCGCCGAGCCCATATTCATTGATGCCGACTTCAGTATGTTATGAATGGATCTGGGAACCAGGGGTGGGTGGTGACTTTTGTTCTTCATCCTGCAACCAAACTTTCACTTACTTAGATTTAACTCTCAGTGCCTTTCCATTGGCAGTTTGACTGTTACATTAAAATTCTGTTGGGAGGCAATATATAATTGGGGGTTAGATGCTTCACTTTTCCTAGTAATTGGCAGGGAGCCTAGGAGCAAAAATAGTCAGGCTGGCTAGTTGCTTTTAGTGGAGAAATAGAAATACTAGAATCATATCCTAGTGCTGGGGTGGGGAACTTGAGACCACATGTGGCCTTTTAACTGAATCCAAACTTCACAAAAATCCCCTTAATAAAAGGATTTGCTCTGTAAAATTTGGACTCAGTCAAAAGGTCACACCCAAGAACCTAGAAGGCATATGTGGCCTTGAGGCTTCAGGTTCCCCACCCCTAGTGCTAGTTATGGCTTGTCCTCAGACAACTCATTTTACCTGTATAAAGTAAGGGACTTAAGTTTAAATGAGGTCAAAGGTCCTTTTCCAATTCGCAGAATAAATCACCAGAGGTCATCAGATAACAATATAGCTTATAGCTTAGTATCTTAGTTTGTTTCACCAGTTGAGGTCCAATGTGCAGAAATACTTTATAAAATCACTATATTATGTATGTAGATTTTTTTTTTCTAGGCAGTGGAAAAAAATAGCCACAAAATATATCAACTGTCTTGATTATTCTTGTTTATAGAAAGCACAGTCCCAGGAGGGCCCATTGGTGGCCAAACAAGAGTAACCTTGAGGAATGAACATATGCAGTACGTCATTACTTGGTAAATTACCAGATCATACAGAGTTTAAACATAACTTGTGTTTTACCCTCCAATTTCCCAGGACTAATTTACTTTTCCCCTCAGGTATGGACTATCTGCAGCAACATCTTACATGTGGTTTAAGAAGTTTGTTCGACTACCCTAGGAGATAGCAATGAAGGGAGAGTGGGGGCAAGAAACTGGACAAACAGAATCAGTTTTTTTTTAAATAAAAAATAAAGGCTCCCACTTTGCCTAATTAAGTTCTACTCTATTTGATTCGTTAGTTGCCAAATTTTGTTTCTTTCTCTACATCTTTCCCAAGTATCCCCCTTTACTAACACAAATACCACCCCAGTGGACATGATCACTTCTCACATGGATTACTTCAAGATCTTACTTGGTTTTCCTGCCTTCTATTTTCCCCTCTCCCACCTATCACCCACATAGCACCAAAGTGATTTTTCTTTAGTCCAGGTCTGATGGCATCCCTTTCTCCCCACCTCCAGTGACTGACTACTGCTTCTAAGATCAAATAAACTTTAAAGTTCTTTACCACCTGACACTGCCTCCCCAGTTTTACATGTCAACACTTTCTCCTCAGAGTTCCAGCCTGTGGCCTACTCAGGTTTCCACATATGATATGCTCTATCTTGCAAACCTGTTTCACCTCTTGAAATTTGCTTTAGATTTGGTCAAGACCCATTTCATGCACCATCTTCTTCATGAACCTTTTCTCCATTAGACTGAGTTCAGAACAAGGAATTGGGGGTGGGATGGGGGTATATCCCTAGTGATTAGCAAGCACAGTGCCTAGCACACTAGAGCTTAATTAAAAAAAATTCTAGTTGACTTACTGGTTGGTTCCCCCATTTGCTAGGTAGGACCCTCCCCAAATTATTTTGTTTGTACGTGTTCATGCATGTGTACCTTGTGAGTATACAGTAGCTTCAATCCCAGAATATCCTATAACCACTCATACTTTGATTTTGTTTAAATCTTTATTTTTACATAGGGAAAAATCAAATATACACTTAACCCAATTTGGTTGCAAGTTCTTTAGCTTTTGCCTTTTCCAGCTTGGCAATACGAGCCACTGATTTTGGACCCAGAACATTGCCACCCCAGTGACGACGGATCTGAAAGGACAAGAAAAAAATGGGTTAACTTTTACCTATATTTAGGTAATATATTCCCCACCCATTTGAAAGAATGTCAGAGCCCATCAAAGTTTTCCTATTTATCATCAACGATGAGCAGTGTGTATGAATGAACATGGTAACCCATTTAAATTGAGTGAGTTTGGTGGTAGAAAACGGTTAGTGTATGCACTTGGTCTGTAACTGAATGAGTTCTTACCTCATCATATCTGTCGTTGTAATTGGTTTTGATGGCTTCTACTAGCTTAGCCAAGGCTCCCTTATCTTCACTGTTGAGAAAGATCAGAAAAGTTACCACCACAGAACCCCTTCACTTAACAGTTTTGTCTTATCTACCACTTTTAGACACACAACCTTTTGTCTCAGGGTCAATATTACTACACGGTCTTTTCAGGCGAAGAAATTCTGTGCATCATTGTCAAAAGGTTAAAAATAAGAGTTCATCTCCTGATTATATATTTTTTAACCCAGTTTGTCAGCCAATTCCCATAATTCTACAGGTTAGCAATTTTCCTTGCTAAGCTATAGTGTAATCAGACATGTAAAACATGTAACAACAAGCAGACAGCAAGTTACATCTCTTCTAGGATAGAACAAATTTAAGCTCTTCCCAGAGATCCTTTTGGATTCAAATAGTTAAGTGATTGAGTAACAAAATATACTTACGGGTTAACCTGTGTGAAGGCAATGCTTGTGCATGTCTTTCTGTGAACTAAGCGACCCAGCCTGGCTTTACCCTTGATAATACAGTAAGGAACCCCCATTTTTCGGCACAAGGCAGGTAGGAAGACCACTAGCTGGAAGATATACACATAGTTAAGTCTAGAGCACTTATCACACAAGAAATAAACTTGTCTTTGGCATTTGCTCAGGGTTAAAAAGCTCGTATATTTATTCTTCATGCTATTAATTCAGGTGAAGAAATTCAATACATCATTGCAAAAGCCAAAAGCTCATTTGCTACAGGAGATCAGTCCCTTAAAAACATTCCAGGGAACTAAACAACCTCTATTATATTCAATGTGATTGACCACAAATAAGAAGAAAAAAAAAAGCGTATTTTATTGCTATTCCTGACATGAGTACCACACCCTACCCCTTTACAAATTTCCCAAGTCGAGAATTTACCTCAATGGGGTCCACGTCATGTGCAATCACTACCAACTGTGCTTTCTTGTTTTCTACCAGGGTAGTAACAGTGTTAACACCTAAAAAACATAACCAGAGTTTATATGGGCTCTTCATTACTGCTTTGTTGCTTTCTAGCTTTTACCTACTTTGGTCAAAAATAACAATAAACCGTTTATCTTCAGCTATGGCTCAGGGTTAAAAAGCTCGTGTATTTGATCTACACAATTATTTCAGGTGAAGAAATTCATACATCATTGCAATAGCTTGCCCAATATTCACCTATCAATCAACCAATTTCAGACAAGAAACTAATTTACCTGCTCTGAGGACAGGTGGTCTCTTAGTGGGGACATCTCCTTTGCCAGAAGCTTTTTGTTCAGCCCGAGCTAACAGCCTTTGCTTCTTATCTTGCTTTGTCTCAGGTCTGTACTTGTGAGCCAGTTTAAGCAGTTGAGTAGCTGGAACACAAACAAGTTTGCTGGTTAAGGTTTTCACTTCAAAACCAATTATTTTTGTGTTCCTTACAATTTGTGCATCAGCGATCTTGGTGGTTAAGTATGTAATCACTGCTACTCAGATAGCAAATATGGTAATCATCATCTGCACACATTTCTCCAGTTATGCCAGAAATTAATGGCATTTAAAAGTCAATATAAAATAAACAGGTCTTAGAAACAATTAGGGTCATGTTAACCCTGAGACAAGAATATAACTTAGGTCTCAACTGTTTCTTCCCATGAATTAAACTAAGTTTTAGGCACACTAGTGTTAGAAATGCAGCCCTTCAAAATAGTGCCTTTTAAGAAAACAGAACAAATCAGGAGTTTCTCTTTACCTGTCTGACGATCCAAAGCCTGGGTGAACTGGTTAATTGCTGGTGGCACTTTCAAACGCTTATAAAGGATAGACCTTTGACGCTGCAGTCTGATGTACCGAGGCCATTTGACAAATCGAGTAAGGTCCCTTTTGGGCTGGATGTCCTGACCTAATGAGGAAAATGTTGTGAAGCTTGCAATTTTAACTCAGATTGTTTTAACTGATAAAAAGAGTGCATCAGTGATCTTGGTGGTTATGAAATGTCATCACCATCATTCAAGATAGCAAATATTCTTTTCCATCATTTGCACAACTGTTAATTCTTGGTGGAGTCTGTTCCCAGCACCCCCTCTGTCCTCTTTCTTCATAACAAAGCTAACTATCAGATTATTATTCTTCTCTCCAATTCCCAATAGTATTTGTGGGTCATTCAAATATTTGGTTAATAGTCCAATTAACACTATAGCACATTTTACATAAGATTAAAACTTTCTCAGTCCACCCACATACCCAACATACCACTATCACTTACCAATGCCAAAGTTCTTCGGCCGCTTCTCAAACAAAGGATTGACCACTTTCTTGGCCTCCTGTTTTTTTACTACAGCAGGGGCCGGAGCCACCTTCTTCCCCTTGGCCTTCTTCCCCTTTGGCTTTAAAAACAAGAAATCTGCTAGTAAGGGTCAGCACTCTTAAGGTACCCCTCTCCCACATATTCTTGATTCTGGGGTCAGAAAACATATGTTCAAATCTCACTAACATTCCAGGTGAAAAATCACAACCTCCTTAGGCCCTATTTTTGCATTTTTAAAACGAAGGAGTTGGAAGAGATGGCCTCTGAGATTTCTTCCCCCCAGTCTTAGATCTATGATGCTATTCTCACTTTTGGCCATTAAACTGCCCCTAACGTACCAGACTGGTGGATGGGTAAGGGATAAGATGCCAATCTGTAAGACATTTCATAATATCAAGGTTTTAACCTCTACTTGCAGTAAGGGCTTTTGCAAAGTTTCAAGAAATTTGCCTCCTTAATTTACCCAGGAAGCAGCTGACCCAAAGCGTCTAATACTGGGGCTCATTCGAGGCTTACCAATGCCTGCTGCTTAATAAAAACTCTGATTTGATTTGACAAGAAAATTGGCTAAACCACTTTAAAGAGGTGAATAAGCATTTACACAGCACACACTACATGCTAGGAACTGGCCTAAAAGCTTTATAAACATCTCATTTGATACTCAAAAACCCTGCGAGGTACGTGCTGTCATTATCCCCAATTTTTTTTTTTAGGATTTGAGAAGTGAGGCAAGCAGAGGTTAAATTAGTGACTTGCTCAGAGTCACACCATGTTTGAGGCCGAATTTTAAACTCGGGTCTTCCTGATCTGACTCCTGGCCCAGGACCACCTAGGTGTCTCTAGTTTGCCACTGGCAAACCACGAGACTTGAGCAATTCAGTTTATGCTTTCTACATCTTAGTTTCTCCCCCAGTAAAACATTAAACTAGATGATCTTCTACCTGATAGTCTACCTTCTTGAGTTCTTCCTAGTGCTAACGTGCAATGACTCAGGGCCAGTTCCCCGAATGCTCTGGGAGGCTGGAGCAATAAATCCAAACAACCCTGTCCCCCGGCGACTGAGCCCCGGATAAGAGCGTGTCGTGCAATCCCACTGGCCGCTGGACTCGAGGGCCGCCAAAGGACCTCAGTGTGCCGGCACCGAAACGGTTAACTCCCTTTGCCACGGGATCCCGGCTCAGGCCCCACGGCCTTCCCTCACCCCGCGAACCGCCCGCCGACCCTCCATCCCCACCACCGTCCCTTCCCTCATCCCGCAGCTCCAGGTCCTGCGAAGGAGCCCCATGAAGCCTCCTGAGGCAGAGGCTGCTCTGCTGGGACCCGAGAAGGGAGTCGATGGAGATGGATTGAAACAGACCCGAGATCCCGCGAAAAAGCAGAGTGCCTCACCATCTTTGCCGGCTGAACGAGAAAGGAAGAAAAGAGACTTGTGGGTAATATGTACTACGCCTCGGCTCTCGCGAGGGTTTGCGCATGCGCGGGATTTATGGTTTTAGGTTTGTGGGAAGGAGGTGGTCTTAAAGGCCAAAGCGGAAACACTCTCCTCCTCTCCCCCCTCCCAGCGTAGTTTTTAAAGGGCCCGCCGCGCATATCTCTCAGGCTAGCGCAGCAGAGCCGGGCTGAGCGAGACCAAGTTCTGACTCCTAGAGGAGACAGGTAAGGGCCCCGGAAGGGTCCCGGCTGTCATCCACACAATCATTTTCGTTTTGTCCATCCGGCTCTGCGGCCTCCTGGGTTGCCTCTAGACGCGGTCCGTTCCTCCCCTTCCCCCGCCCGCAGGCGGCCTTGGTCGCATGCGTGTTGCCTCGGCTCCGCTCGCTGGTCTAGTCTGGCTGGGCTGGGAGGCGCGCGGCCCGATGGAGAAGTGTAAGCGGCCTGAGGGCGGGCGGGGGGGAGGGGGAAGTGTAAATATACTGAGGGCAGGCGCAGTACCTCCCAGGCTCCCCCCACCCACCCCAGTCATTGTGTCCGCTGTGCCCAGAGCGGCATCTTGTATTAGGCCGGCGCTTAATAATTTTGAATTGGAGTGTGACCTTACACTCCGAACTGGAATCTGACATTAGAGACTTACGGAGTCCAACCCCACGTTTTAGAGAGGAGGAAAGTGAGGTGTAGACAAGCTTTTGTTAAGCGCTCTGTGCCGGGACTGGTGACTCCAGGTCCAGCACTCTCTCAAGTACAAGAAGTTGAAGGAAGTGCCCCCAACCCACCCTCTACACCTTGTCATCCTCACTCACATTTCTGTAGCTCCTTAAGGTTTACCAAGTGCTTTCCTCTCTATAACCCTGAGAAGGTAGGGAGTGCAAGTACTGTTCTTATCCCCATTTTACAGATGCAGAAACTGAGGGGGAAAGGAACAAGCCATTAAGCACTTGTTGGCTGCCAGACAATCGTCTAATGGTATAATAAGATAATACTAATATTATCTCATTTGATCCTTGAAACAACCCTGGGAGCTAGGTGCAATTATCTCCCTTTTACAGATAAGGAAACAAACAGAGGTCACACAGCTAGTGAATATCTGAGGACAGATTTGAGCTCGGGTCTTCCTGACTCCAGACGTTGGAGTCTTTCTACTGCACCACCTACCTGTATTATTATCCCCATTTTACAGATGAAAGAAGTAAGGTTCAGAAAGTTTGAGACCTGCCTAAAGTCAGTCTCATAGCAGGTATCAGAGGCAGAATTCTCACCCAAGTTGCTGTCACCTATAGAATCATTACTACAAGTCAAATCAGTATTTTGATGGAGTGCTACAAGGTGACTTAACCTTTGAATACCTGTTAATGCCACTGCTCTCTTTTGACTCCAAGTCCAGTGCTCTTCCTATGGCACCATTTTTTCACTTTAGAGCTATAAGTTATAAGAGTGGGGAAGGAGCTTATTCTGAGTCGCACAATGTTTCTGAGGCCGGATTTGAGTCCAGGTGTTACTGACTCCGAGTGCAGTGCTCCATTTACAAAACATGCTGCTTCCACTAATAACACATGGCTCTAATCTCTTCTTTGCCTTGCTTTCCTAAGGATAATGCAATGGCCCAACAAAGAGTCCTCCCCCAGAGCAAAGAGACCCTCCTTCAATCTTACAACAAGAGGCTGAAGGATGATATCAAGTCAATAATGGATAATTTCACTGAGATCATAAAGACAGCTAAGGTAAGTAGAGGTAAGGGAACTAGCTTCCCACGTTCTCTCATCTTCATAGGAGATGGTGGGACAAGGGCTGGGTGTATCTTGTTTATGTGTCTCAGGGAAAAAAAACTTGGTCCAGAGCCTATCCTGAATTTTAAAGCACTGCTGTTCATCTGGTATGTTGGAATTTGGAATACTGAATTGTTCTAGGTTCTTTTCCTTGCCTACTTTCTGTATAAATGGTCACTAGGAACACGGATTTTGAGCTGGAAGGGACATTAATGGCCATTTAATCCAAGCCTCTCATTTTAAAGAGGAGGAAGTGGAGCCCAGGAAGGTGAACTGATTTGCCTTAACTTCACAAATAGTAAGTGGCAGTTCTGGGAGGTAAGGTAAGGTAAGGAGGACAGAAACCTGTTGTGGTTGGAGAATGTGGTATTCTGGATTAGTAACTATTCGGTTAAGAAAGAATTGCCATATATGCCTTAGATGGTTGTCCATTTTTAAAAGAATCAGAACATGATAAAAAAAGTACTTAGTATTAATACTAGAATGAACATAATTTTAGTCTCTTAAGATTGAGGGTTTTCAACTACATGAGGAATATTAAATCTCTGCCCAATTACCACAGACAGAATCTTTGAAACCTTAGAATCAGGTGGCAATCCAACCCTAGTCTAGCAACATTTCTGATAAGGAATCATCCATCCTGCCCTAGACCACCCTTGACAGTGAGATTAATACCTCCCTTGACAGCCTGTTCTGTTGTTGGAGAGTTATTAGAAAGTACTTCCATGTATGGAGCTGAAATCTGCCTCCCTGTGATTTCTACCTTTCATTCTTAGTTTTGCTCTTGGAAGCCACATGGAATGAGTGTATTCTGGTTTCCAAATAGTAGTTTCTTAGCTATCTAATGACAGCTGAGTAACCTCCCTAAGTCTTCTCTTCTTTGGTTGTTCAGTGGTTTCTGGTCATCCAGCATTATAGCCATTCCTCCCATATTTGTGTTGCCTACTATTTGGTGAGCGTGAAATTTTTTTTTTTGGTCTTTATAATAGGGATAGGGACTGGACCTGTCATTGCATTGATATATTGGGAATTCCCAGGAAAGGAAAATGCCTTTGCCAATGCAGGTCAGCACCTTCTCTGAAAGCTATAGACCTAGGGAGTTTCCAAGAGCAGTAGTGTCAAAATCAAATAGAGGTGAGGGCCACTAAACCATGTATAAGGATGCATATTAACTTAGAAACCATATAGTAATATTATCTATGTTTTATTGTATTTCCATTTATTTTGTTAAATATTTCCCGATTGCATTTTATCTGGTTTGAGCTACTCAGGAGTGCCTTTTGGAGGCAATTTTTATTCAAACTGAATTATCTTCACCCCAAATCAAAAGTGCCAGGAATATTATTTTTTATAATCATCATTGTCGTTATTGCCATCGCTATCATCATCATCATCATTATTAGAACAGCAGCTTAGGAAATAAAATCTTATATCTGTTCTCTGTCACTCCCCCTTCCTCTTTTTGGACCATATCATAATCTTTTAATCCCCCTGTGCTCAGCTTTTTCTTTCTTTTCTGCCCCTCCTTTCTGTGGGAGAGATGGGGCTCAGTGTCTAACCCTGTGTCATTAGATGGGGAGGGGGGATAACTTTTTACTTAACCCAGAATTCTTGGGGTGGAGAGGAAGGACTCCTCTTGGGAGTCATGAGTCTCCCTTTCTCTATAAGTGCCTCCTGTTCCCTTCCCCTCGTCCTTCCTCCTACCCCTGTTATGTCCCAAGAGGTTTGTGGCAAGCTCTTGAACTGACGAGGCATTGGCTTACATGTTGTTGGACATTCTTCTTGTTTTTCCTCTAGATTGAAGATGAAACTCAGGTGTCCCGGGCAACTCAGGGTGAGCAGGACAATTATGAGATGCATGTGAGAGCTGCCAATATTGTAAGTAAGCCTTGTTCTTCCTTCTCCCTCCATCTTCTGGGTCTTGCGTTGAGGGGCAGGCAGCAGCAACAGCACTTTCTGTTTATTTCCTGTAGGTCATATCTAATCTTGGGTTCTTTCTCTTTTCCATCACCCTCCACTTCCCAATCTAGAGTCTGAATTTGGGCCATGCAGTTTCTTGTCCTCAGCCTTCCCATTGTGTCCATAGAAAATCCTTTTTCCCTTTGCAATCAGTGCTGAGAAAGGCCAGGTGAAGGATAGGAAAGAAAAATCCCCAAATTTCACATCAGTCAATCAGATCTTTATTGAGCATTTACTTTGGTCAAAGAGTTCTGTGCTAGATACTGTGAGGGATATAAAGATGAGTAAGACATAGCCCCTGCCCTCAGAGAACTTAGTCTAGTCAGAGAGAGAGGGCCCCCCCCATGAAAAAATAACCATCAATACTAGTGTTCCCTGAGCTATATGGACAGTTAAGTGTTGCAGGAGTTCAGGGTAGAGAGAGAGAGACATGTCCTGGGGGTCAGGGCTGTTGGGGAAGGCTTCCTAAAGGAAGTGGGAAACACAAAGGGACTTTGTTACTATTGTGTTAAGTTTTATTTTAAACTTAAAAAAAAACTGCATGTAACAGTTCAATTTCATATATAATCTCCTGGTTTTTGTAGATGGCATTGTTTGTTTGTTCAGTTCATCTTAGAAAAATTTTCAAGTAAAACAGAGTGCTTCGGGTAGGCTGAGGGGGTGGGAAGGGACATTATTGGAAATGTTGTGAGCAAAGGCATCTAGATGAGAAAGCCAAGGCCCCACACTCAGGTGACAGTGGTTCTCGTTGGGTCTTTGGGAGATGAGGTAGATGTAGGTAGAAGGTGTCCAGGTTATTTAAGGCATCAGGGAACAGCAGCTAAGGAATAGCCATCATCCTGTAGACAGTGAGTTGCTATGAAACCCTTTGAGTGACATGATCCAAACAGGTTTCACTTCTCAGTGCTTCCCCTGCTCCCAGAAACTCTCACAAATGAAAACTGGCTGCAGTGGTGATCCCTTGCGGTAGGGCGTTCTTTCCTTGGTAGCTGGTGCTAAAAGCCTCTTTGGTGCTTGGCAAGATCCCTTTTACCCTGAAATTTTGTGATCCAAGAGGGGCAAGATTAGGAAGGGGCTGGGGGGTAGGGTATGGAATCTGTCCTTGTGAGGCTGGGCTCAAATAATTAAAACTGTTATAGATATTAGAAAGTCAGAGGCCAAGAGGGGATATCATTTCATAGTAAATCTGTAAACTCGTGAAGAAACATTGCCTTATTCAGAACTTCCTTCTCCACTTTCCCCATGAAGGTTATAAGGAGGACAGACAGCTTTAACACACAGCAGGGTAAACATGTGGAGGCCATCCTAGGTGCCTCAGTTTCCCCTGTTGGTAGGGGCTGTAAGGTGGCTGGAAAGAGATGAGGGTTAAGTCATAGGCACCAAACACATCTGTGGTCAATCTAGCCTCTGTTAAGCACCTAAGCTGATGCTAGGCACTGGGGATGGAAAAATAAAAGTGAAAACCTGTGTCCTGGTGGAATGTGTCCTCTATCGGGAGAAATCTCTCTCTCTCTCACACACACACACACATATACATATATAATGCATGTTCACATAACACACATGTGTATATGTGTGTGTATAGGTATATTGAAAACTCAAATAACCAGGTAACCTTGGTGAGGGAGGTGCTGGCAGCTGAAGGAAATGGGAAAGGCCTCATATAGAAGGTAATACTTGGTCTCCTCCTTTATGGAAACAATTCTGAAAGCAGATCTCTGTCCATTTCCCAAATTGTACTTTCCGGGCCTCCCTAAACCCCATCTACCATCTTACTCATTAACATTCCTAGGTCCGTGCTGGGGAGTCCCTGATGAAGCTCGTGTCTGACCTCAAGCAATTTCTCATCCTCAATGACTTTCCTTCGGTGAATGAAGCCATCGATCAGCGCAACCAGCAGCTTCGGGGCTTGCAGGATGAGTGTGACAAGAAGCTCATTTCCCTGCGGGATGAGATTTCCATTGACTTGTACGAGCTGGAGGAGGAGTATTACTCGTCCAGGTACAAATAGGGCTCTGTACTCCAGAAGCTTGTGAAACTGCATCCTCTTCCTTCTTCATCCACCTCTCCTAGGGAGCAGGCAGCAGGAGAGCTGGCCAGATCAGTGGCTTAGCAGGAAGCCTTTGCTCCTTCCTACAGCTGTGCTTCCCAGGGTTACTGGCCTTCCTGAATTTTGTGGGGTTTTTCTCTGAGACGATCTCTTACCTGGGAAGCTCTGTGAAGGCCAGTAAAGATGGCAATAGTTTCTTCTTGGCCCCCTAAAATAAAAATTCATTTCTTCTTTGGTGACCCAGGTACCCACTTTCTCTGGGGAAGTCAATAATGCCAAAGTAAATGGAGACTGAGCTATGGGCGTGGGTACTCCTTTGTCCCAGAATAACTGGTCTCCAGAACAAAGAAATCTGGACTAACATATGGTACCCCACTGTAGGTTTTGAATAGCTGCTTTTTTGCTCTGGTGATATCCCACTGTGAATGCTCATAGAATCTTAAAGTGTCAGAACTGGGAGGGACAGACTTTCAACCTCATTTAGTACAACCTATTTATAGATTGGAAAACTGAGGCTACAGAGGGAAAGGAGATGTGACTAAGGAATAAAATCTATGTCTCTTGAGGCCCACACTACACTAACCTGCCTTTATACATCAGCCTCTCTGATGAGGTAATACATGCTAATTCTATACTGTTTCAATTGCTACTCTGTTACGCATTTAAATTGCTAGTTTTCTCTTTGATCATAGGCTGATTTCTCTCAGCCAACCAGTCTGCACTTGTTTCTCCCATGTAGGAGATAGGTGCTCAGGGAACATAGACCAATTCTAGCATTAGCCTGAACTAAATGGAATCAGGGAGACAGATTGGATTCAGAGTGAAACTGAGAATAACAGTGGAAAAATCTCCAAACACACTGCATTTCAAGGCCCAATCTATATAACTTTAGGATTATCTACTTTGAGAATTCTCTATATTACTTAAAAGTCATAGCATGTCAGAACTGGAAAGGGCCTTAAAGACATCTAGCTGAGGGATTCTTTACTTTTTTGGGGGGTCATGGATCCCCCTGGCAGTCTAATGAAGCCTGTGTACACCTCAGAATAATGTTTTCAAACAATAGAAGGAAATGCTAAATTCTAGTTTGGGATTAGTGAAGATAAAGATGTAAATTTTATCCTACTCAAGTTCATTGGGGGGGGCCTCCCCTGAAATACTTCCACAGTTAATGGACTCCAGGTTAAGGCCCTTTTCCACTCCCCCCCCCCCCCTCCCATCCCCCCCCCCCCCCCCCAACACACACACATACTATCTGGCTTAATCTTATTTTACTGAGGCCAAGGGAGAAAATATGAATTGTTTCTCTGTGCCCAGTAGACGAAAAGCTGATGAATCTTCAGAATTATCTCTAGGTGGTTTTATGCCTTCTTTCCCCCTTTGGACCTACTAGTGCCTTTAAAATGCTCACTTTTGCACCAAAGAGGCTTGTGAACTTGTTTGGAGAGGGCCTCAGGCCAGATCTGGCCATGGATTTAAAATGTATAGTTGAACCTCCTTATGACTTATTTTCCTGAAGAGGCTCAGTTTTGTCCCACCTCTTAATTGCCCTGAACTATTGTAAATACTGGAAATGTGAAGTGAGAAGTTTAGCCCTTTTGGAGCCAGAGATCATTTGGCAAAAGGCACCACAGCTGTCATCCCATGCCAAGCTTTTTATTCCACCTATTCCTGTCTCTCTTGAATTCTCAGCATCCTTGCCTGGTTTTAATCCTTTCACCTGGTTCCCCTGATGGAAGGGGCTCTCCCAATAGGATGCTCTCTGTCCTTATTTCTCCCAGATGCTTTCTGTTGTACAGGCTTTGTGCAGGTGAAATTCCTACATTGAACTCCTGAGAGTAGAGAAGATGCTTTTCCTCTGTGGGAAGAACTCCATGACCTGGAATAGGGGATTCAGAGGACCATGAAATCACAGACTCATAGAATGCCTGAGCTAGAAGGGACCTTTAGAACATGGAATGTCTCCCTCATTTCACACGTGAGGAAACTGGCCCCCAGAGAAGTAACTGACTCATATAGCGAGTGAGCGGCAGGACCCAGCCTGGAATCCAGGTCTCCAGACTCGTAGACCAGGGTTCTTTCTGTTGCTCGTCTTCATATTAATCGTTCAGTCAGATTTACCATCCCTTTTCCCCATATTCACCATACTACCCAGTAAGATGACCTCAGCTCAAATTCCCAAGTGCTTTAAACCTGTGAAATCCTCCATGACCTCCCCCATGAAGTAGGTAAATGCCTCAAATCTGTTCCTGCAAATCCCAGAGTGCCTTAATGTTGTGGTGGTTGGGGTGGTGGTGGTAAGCGTAAGCTTGGGCTAAGTGGGATAATCCTCTGTTGTAAGTGATGTCCTACCATGTACCCTGTGTGTAGGGCCCTTCACAGCAATTCTAAGGGGGTAGATTGATGATGATGATGATTTTGAAACTGTCAGTTGTGTCTTCATCCTGTTAAGTATTTGAAATTTATCCTTCTCTATCCAATTCTATTCCCCTGACCCTGTTCCCATGTAAATAAAAGTTTTTGCTGTAAGCAAACTGGGACACCAAGCACCTCTCCAAATGTTTTTCTCCATATGAACTGCTGTTTCTGTCACCCCTGCTGTGTTCCCTGTTTCCCTCCTGCTCTCTTGCACCCACTTTGCCGTCTCTCCCTATTGTTTGCTTTTTTCCCTAGCCCAACTCTCCTGCTTTTTTTTCTTTGGAGTGTCCTACTGCTCCATGTCTGTGATGGACTTCTAGGGTTGGGGAGCCAGATGAGGTCTAGAGGAAGGGAAAGCAGCATCCAAGAGTTAAGCAGGGTTGGGAAAGGGATGAGCTATTTACCTTTTCAGAAGCAGCACCTGGTTTGGCCCACACCCCACCCTCTTTCATTTCTCCTACCAGTTAGCTGATTGTAAGGTTATGTCAGACAGAACCTGGTAGAAATTACCAGGTTTGCGGAGGTTGGAGGGCTCGATGTGAAGACACCCAGACATGCCTGGGAGACTAAGAGTTTAGGGCAATAAAACAGCCAATTAAAATAAAAAATTTTCTCAAAACTGAGTGAATGATAGTCATTGATCGTTTGGAGATAGACTGAGCTGTCTCATCATAAAACTAGGACCAAGAAACTGCTTTCGCTCAACTGAGGTAAAAGGAGCAAGTACTAGAACCTAGAGCTGAAAGGGGCCTTGAGATCATTCAGCTCCCTCTCCTCCCATTTAACAGATAAAGAAACAGACCCAGAGAAGTTTTTTTTTTTATTTTTGTTTTTTACTTGCCTAAAGTCAAACAGACCTTTGTTGTTGTTGTTGTTCAGTTGTATCTGCTCTTTCTGACCCCTTGGACCATACATAGCACATCTATTCTATCCATGGGGTTTTCTTGGCAAGGATACTGGAGTGCTTTGCCATTTCCTTCTCCAGAGGCAAACAGAGGTTAAGTGACTTGCTCAGTCTCACAGATAGTAAGTATGTAAGGCCAGATTTGGACTTAGGTCTTTCTGACTCCAGGCCCAGCCCTCTATTCACTGAGCCATCTGGCTGACAGACCTGCCCCAGGTGTTTGGTACAAGTACTTGGATGTAAGAACCCTGAGGGATGTGTCGGATTGTGACTGGACCTTTTGAGGTGCCACTGAAATCTCCCATCTGTCCTCACCCAGGTTTTTGCTGCTTCAAAACTGTAGTGGAACTGTTGGCTTCTTGCAATGGGGTTGACCACAGGCATTGTTTTAGCTGCTTTTGTGGTAACATTAATGGTCTTGTGCTGTGCTGAGCTTGTCTTTAAAAACAACGCTCCCCCCTCTCCCATGTGATCCTTGCTTTCAGAGAAATAATAGGAGCATTGATTTAGAGTCAGAAACCTTATTAGAATCTCTTAATTGTAGGGTGTTAGATCTAGATCAGGAAGGGGTCCCAAGAAGCTACCTAGTCCAGCCCCCTCCTTTTACAGAGGAGGAAACGGAGGCCCAGTGACTTGCCCTTAAAGTTACACAGGTAGTGAGTATCCCAGTTAGGACGTGAACCTAGGGCCTGGAGCGCTTTCCATCGTATCACACTGCTTCTCACCTTGCAGGACCCAGAAACTCATATTTAAAAATAACTGACAAACACATGCAGAACAATGGATAGATAGACTCGAGGGAGTGAATGCATGTGTATACTTGACTTTGTGAGGGGGTTCCTACTTTCAAGGCCATAGGAGAACTAGTCACTTTAAAGGATCCTGCAATAAATCTTTTCTTATTAGCAAGTAATTGCCCTGTTTTGCACTGATCCTAAATGTCTTATAATTTCACGAAGGCCAAGAGCTGGGAATTAGGAAGCAATCAGTTAGGTTTGGGTGGGTAGGGATTTCTTTAAGGATTGGTACTGTTTTCTAAATGCTCTGCTTCTGTCTTGCTTTTTTTTTTTCTTATATTCCCTTTTCCCCTGCCTTCACACCTCTCCCTGCTCCTGCTGTCTTTCTTCCTGGGGTTTTTTTGGCTATGGAAAAGCTACAGTTTTTGCGACACAATTGATCTGCCCCTGTGTGAAGCCTACTGGAGGCAGGACCTCACTTCATTCTCCCCTGATGGCCTCTCAGCACCTCTGCTAGTGTCTCCTGCAGAGCCTGGTATGGCCCCGGTGCAGGGGACCACACCAGTGCTCCCTCACATCAACGGGCCTGGCTCAGGTCCCACGGAGCATGCCTGACCAGGATCCAGTTCTGATGCTGTCAAAGGTGCTTGCTGCTGACTCCAGCTACCACAGCCAACAGCTGCCCCTTTGGGCACAGGGTATCACTTGGAGAGCAAACGTTAGTATTTCAATCTGGGTCTTCCCTCCCCTTGTTCCCCTCTCTTTCAGCCTCAGGGATAAAGTTCAGGTGCCCAGGCCATCCATTAAACTACATTTCCTTTTCCTGGGCCTAACCTTTCTTTGATGAAAGTCACTGTTCCTGAAATTAGAATGGGAGGGGATTGGGGAATTTGTTAGGCAGAGCCAAACACTTGGAGTTGGGAAAACTGTAGGCTACGTCCTCAGCTGTCCCAGGGAACTGCTATTCATGAAGTCTTCTTCCACCCTGGCCCATTTGAGGACAATAGAGCTAGGAGGAAGATAGCTCTGGATTTCATCCTATACTCAAAACTGTGGGTGGGTGGAGAGATGGGGGAGGGAGCCATAAACACTTGGATGTGTAAGTAGATATAGAAAGAATGTGTATTAACTTAAGCAGCACACATAGAGGCCACATTAAAAACTGGCATTTGTGGGGCAGATTTAGCTACTGTAAGTGAGCAAAACCATACGTGGTTCAGCTTCATCTCACAAGAGAAATAACTTGACATAGAGTCACTTTTTCATGGGAATTTCTGTATTAAAGGTGGCTCCTTGAAATGTTGCTGTTGCTTGGAGCTCAGGTGGACAGAGGGACTGGATTACGCTGTTACCATTCATTTCCCACAGTGATTCTCTTTATTTTTGTAACTAGACTGTTAAATAAATAAATCATGAATCTTTGGTGATTTATTTCTCTTCTCAGTCCCCACTTATGCATGAACTCACAGGTTGAAGAGGAAGCCTGCTGGTCCCCTAACAACAGAGATGCAATTGGGGAATTGGGATATGCAGCCAAGGCCCAGACCGTGGGAGGGGGACAGAAAAGAAAATAACTCCTTTCTATTGTATCACCTGGTGGAGAAAGAGTGCACAATTTAGTCATCTGCAGGGATGAGGCTCAATCAACAAGCATTATAAATAAGTGCCTACTATGTGCCAGATGCTGAGAGGGACGGGGTTCAGAGACAAAAGTTAAAAGGTCCCTGGTCTCATGGAGCTTACATACTGGATAACGTAAAGCAGAAGGTGATTCTAAAGAAAAACAACATTGAACACAAAACGTCTGAACTAGAAGGAGCCTTGATCTCATCTAGTGATTAAATTTGGTCCACACCCCTTATTTTACAAACTGAGACCCAGACAACTTGTCTGAGTGAGTAGCAGCTAGAATCTAGCTCTAGCAATCTTAGAATTTCTAAGAAGGAACAATATTGGTTTCCCTTATTCTGTGGATGAGACTTGTCTCACTAGCCAGTCTACAGACCACTATAAACAAAGAATTTTGTGCTTGATTAAAAGAAGTTAACCAATACTCAAATTAGGAAAAAAAGGAATACCTAGATAATCAACATGTTAGACTTAGGGAAAATCAGGTCTGTGATCTACCTCTTAGGTATTTAACAAGCATTTATGAAGTACCACCTGTGTGCCAGACACTGTTAGGCACTGGGGATACAAATACAAAATCAAGGTTTTCAGTCTCCTCAAGCTTACATTCTGTTAGTCTGACAATAAAGGAGAAAGAGTATTAATCATTTGACACATACATAACCAGGCTAAGGAGTCTTGAAGGCAATGGGCTCCCAAGTGGTGACCATACCTTGCTTCTAAGGGGTATGTGAACCACCACCTTCCATGATAGAGCAAATCATGAGGCTTTTCTTCAACACAACCATACCTACCCATCACATTGCAGGCCAGTGGTCCCCATTACAAGAATGGATGGGGGAAATTGTTTCCCCTGAAAGGTTTATTAGTGTCCTGTACCTTTAATTCTGAGAGGGCATCCCACCCACGTAATTGGGATTTATTGATAGTTTCCCACTCAGGCTAAGTCACCTGGCCCCTCTGGAAAGGGTTGGACAATTCTACTCTAATTTTGACAATTTGACTCTCTTATTTTGATTTCCTATTTTTTGACAAATGGTTTTTCTAATTTTGACAATTTGACTCCCTAGTTTTTTCCTAATTTTTAACATTTTGATTCCCTAATTTTTAATCCCCATTACAATGAGATCATAATTTTGACTTTCTAATTTTGACAATTTGACTCTGTAATTTTGACTCCCTAAAATTGAAATTTTGACTTTTCAATTTAGACAGATTGAGTCCCTAATTTTAGCTTCCCAATTTTGACTTTTTAATTTTGGCAGTTTCAGTAGTCTTGACTCCCTAATTTGGACAATTTAACACCCAAATTGTTAAACAATTTGATTCCCTAATTTTGACTCCATAATTGTTTCAACAATGCTGTGAACCCACAGCTTTAGAAAGCAAGGACTGATGAGAGAAATTCTGTTTCCCCTGAGAACTGTGTTGTTGTTTTTTTTTGTTTGTTTGTTTGTTTTATGTGTCCTGTGGAGACCTGGGAAATACCTTAATTTAGAAAGGCCAAGGTCATCCTCTGCTTCATGGACCATCGACTGTTGTCTTGACCTTGCCACTGGACTCCATGACTCTTGAGGAGAGATTGAGACTGATGATGACTTTTCTAAGCTCTGCCTCACTCATTCAATCCATTAGCAAGTCATGATATGCTGGTGATGTCATTGGTTCTTTTCCAGAAAGAAGGACCAAAAACAACATACCCCCAAGGATATAAGTGTCAAGGATATTCCAGTGTATGGAATATAATAATTGCTAGTTGATTTGTTGACTTAAGTAATTTATTAACTATCTAGTAATATATTTTGGTTCCTCTCACTCCTCAACCCTTTGCCAGCTAACTTCTGACCTAGGCAGTCAATTAAAACTGTCCTCTCCAGAGTTTCCAGTTGATCACTTATTTGCCAAAACATTCTTTTTTCAATCCATATCCTTCTCAACCTCCCAGCAGGATTTGATACTGTTGATCACCCACTTTTAATAGATAATATCTCCTCCCTTCTGTGACTGAGGTCTCCACCTGTCTGGTTGCTCCTCACTCTGTTCAATCATACACAAAACATATAGGCGCATACAAAGTAGAGGTAGTTACTTAGAGAAGGAAGACCTGGATTTCTAATCCTGTCTCTCACACATACTAGCTCTGTGACCTTAAGCAAGTCATTCTCTCTGTGCCCCTAGGTAATTCTAGGTTATAAATTGCAGAGCAAGTGTAGATAATTCATTAGTTAAGAAAGTTCCTCACCAGGAGCTTTCCTATACCTATGTAATTACAGGTTCAGTACCCTCCAAAAACGTATGAACAAAATAGACACAGGATAATGAGGTTGGTGTGGTGGTGGAGACATATTAAAACCAGAGTGGGGAGGCTCAGGAAAGAGTAAGTTTTCATGTAGGCATTAATCAGGGATTTAATATTCCATCTATCTGCTCTTCGTGTGTGTGTGTGTGTGTGTGTGTGTGTGTGTGTGTGTGTGTACACACAGTCCCTGCCCTCAAGGAGTTTACATTCAAACTCCAGAACATGAAGACAACTATGTACCTTTAAGATAGACACGTACATTTAAGAGATATACACAATGTATATTTGTATATATGTGTGCATGTATGATAAATATACATTTAAGAGATGTTTTAAATGTACACGTGTTTTATATTTTATATTATATATTTATATTTTAAGAGACATTCATCTCTGAAACGTTCATAGTTGTCTTGTTTTCTACCATTAGAATTTAAGCTCCTTGAGGACAGGGCCTCTTGCCTCTTTTTATTCTCAGTGCCCAATCAGTTCTGTGCTAAGCACCTAAAAGGCGTTAAATAAACGCTGGAGGACTGCCTGGCTGACTGAAGGCAACTCTAAGCTCTTCACTCCTTCCTGCGCAGACGCCCAACGTTCTAAACCCCTCCCACCTCCCCGACCAGGGAGGGGCTCTGACTGGATACCCTCTCTCAGAGCCTTCCGGCAGTCGTCCAGCAGCCCACAATCCTTTGAGGCCTCACCCCTCCCACTTTGTCGCTGGCCTACTAGACACGGCCAATAGAACACAGCTCTCCCATGACTCGGCAGTCGTCTAGTTCTGCCTACCCATGTGGGTTTCCCAGGAGAGAAGTGACCGTGCGCCTGTCCGAGGCCAGGTAAGTAGCCGAGAGTGTTCAGACTCGGTGGGTGGTACCGGCTCACCCGGACTCTCTGCTGCGCGCCCCGGCCCTTCTCCTCCGCTACCTTCTTTCCCAGCTTCTTGCCCTCCTTTCTCCCGACCGCCTCATCTTCCCTTCTCTTACTCCTAGCCCTCCCCACGAGGATCCCTGTCACCAGTGGGTGCCCTCGCGGACCTACAAAGACGCAGGGATCGGGACGTACGTACACGTCTTCGGAGATTTCTGTCTCTGTGTGTCTCTTTCTGTCACACACACACACACATACTCACACACACTCACTCAGCCATGCCCACGGATGCTGACAAGATACCCAGAGCATTCAGAGATGCCACCTTTGAGAGTATCTAGTCCAGGGATTGCTAGCCTGGGGTCCATGGACTTGTTTTTAAAGAATATTTTGATGATTGTATTTCCGTAAGATTGGTTTCCTTTGTAATCCTATTTTGTTTTATACTTTTAAAAACATTATTTTGAGAAGAGTTCCATTATACAGAAACGGTTAACAACTCCTGATCTGGTCCAACCCTTTCCCCCCTTCCCTGTTTTTAAACCAGGTAAGAGAGGTTTTACTGTTAGGACCAGTTCTTTCCATGCTGCTTCATGTACTTGGAATAGTGAGTGACATAAACAGGTACAGACACCTAGACTGTGAGGTCCTCAAGAGCAGGGACTCTCTTTTTGCCTTTCGTATCCTTAGCTTAGCCCAGTGCCTGACAGAGTAGGGCTTAACAAATGATTATTGACTGGTTGACACTGACATGCAGATGTCTAAGAAAGTAGACACAATAGGCAAAGATATTCGTCTAGACAATCCCAAACAGAAATAGACAAATACACATTTAGCCACACAGATCAGTAGACACAGATGCACACAGACAGACATTTACACAAAAACAAGCATGTTTGTGTGGAGGCCCTTTTCTGTGTAGAAAAAATACTGCCCAACCTGGCCCCTCCCTCCCCCCCAAAAAAAGGATTTTGTTCTTCAGAATATATTGCCCCACGTGTGGGTTAAGCTGTTTTTTAGAGATTTTTTTAGGGGGGTAGGGAAGAGGTAAGGGTAATTGGGAGTGGGAGGAGTAGTGCTCTACTGCTGGATAGGGCATCTTCTACTCTAGATACAAGGGGATCCTCGTGAAACAACAAATTGTTTTCTTGGGCACCCGACTTCTTCTCAACCAGCTCTTTTTTTTTTTTTCCTCAGTCCAGGAACAGTGGAAAAACTCTTCCAGAGACACCATATGCCTCTGAAGGAGCAGCGGAGGTTTTCCAACAGGATTCAGTGATTCCTTCCCTTTCCCAATGGCGTCACTGGTGGCCAAAGATTCTTATCTGCAGAATCTAGCCAAGAAAATCTGTTCCCAGCAGACTGTGGAGCCACAGAAACGAAAATGGGGTAATTCATATAGTTCTTGGAATAATTTTTTAAAAAATCAGTGTGGTTCTTCTTTCCCATCCTCAGGCACTGGCCTCATCACTAGATCACCCTGACCTTCCTCTTAGGTTAAGAGGCACAGTGGTCCAAATGAAAGAACACTGGAGTGACAGAAGATCTGGGTTCTAGGACCAGGTCTGTCATTTACTTGGCACAACATTTCTTGTTTCTAACTTTCAGTTTACACCTTGCCTCACCTCCTTTACAGGGCTATTATGAAAGTCAAGTGAGAAAATGTATTTTAAATCTATTTGCAAATCACCTAAGGGTTTACTCTTTTGTTGTGGAACAGAGTAAGTAGGGGAATTTCTTCACCTGAGAGTTCTTGATACCAGAGTAATCATAAGTTCAAAAAAGTGTGGTGGTGATGGATTATTATTATTATTATTATTATTACTTACAATCAAAGCACAATTATCTACCAAATGGATTCTTTCATCATCTGAAGTCTTTTTTTTTGTCATCCAACAAGATCCTACAGACAAATTAGAGGGAGGTTGTAAGAATAATCAGTCAACAGGTATTATTTATTGGGCACTTGGTCTCAGCCCAGCTCTTTGCCCAATAACAAGCATTTATTATAGAATGTGCCAGGCACTGTGCTAAGCTGGGGATAGGAATGAAAACAAAAAGGAAGATAGTCTCTGCCTTTAAGAAGCTTACACTTTAATGGGAGAAAGACAACACAGAAAAAGGACTTGAAGTGGGAGGCAGGAGAGGGAAAAGTCGTTATTGGGTTCTTGTGTTGAAACCTGAAGAGTCAGAAGAAGGGCCAACAGGGGAATAAAAGATGGCCAACCTGGACCCCTCCCCAAAATGGAGTGAGGCAGAGACATCCAGTGGGAGAAGGGAGCTGAGATGGTAGAGGTAGGCTCCAGGGTGAGACGGGGACTGAAGCATGGTGTTGAAGTTCTGCTGCTATCAGGCAATAGTCCTGGAGTCAGAAAGAATCCTCTTCTGAGTTCAAATCTGGCCTCAGACATTTACTAGCTGTGTGACCCTGGGCAAGTCACTTAACTCTGCCTCAGTTTCCTCATCTGTAAAATGAGCTGGAGAAGGAAATGGTAAATCACTCCAGTATCTTTGCCAAGAAAACCCCAAATGGGATCATGAAGAGTCAGACACTGCTGAAAATGATTAAGCAACTAAAATTGTGTGGTACAAATAGTATGTACTATAGGAATTCAAAGAAGGAGTGAAAAAGTATGGAGGTTAGAGCTGAGATTTGTATACCAACTCCTTCAGAGTCCTTCTATCCTAATCACAGAATTTTGAATGGAAAGAAAGAGAAGAGTTCATCTCGTTGCACCTCAAAGGGGGGAAATGCTTTGACCAGAGTCTCCAGGAATGAAACTGGAATTCAGGCCTGGGTCTTTTTTTTTTTTTATTATTTTTAGGCATTTGGGGTTAAGTGACTTGCCCAGGGTCACACAGCTAATAAGCGTCAAGTGTTTGGTCTGAGGTCAGATTTGAACTCGGGTCCTCCTGATTTTAGGGCCGGTGCTCTATCCACTGCACCACCTAGCTGCCCCATTGGCCTGGGTCTTTTTACTCCAAACCCAGGGTCCTTTCTGCTGCATCACCCAATCTCTTCTACTGTCTAAGGATGGCCCAGGAGTCTTAGGTTTCCTGCTATGTCACAGGAACTAGAATGACCTTTCTCCCTCTTCTTTGTTTTAGCTCCCAAACCTGCTGATCTAGCAACCAGTGGACCCCCAAAGAAGAAGAAGAAGAAGGAGAAGAAGGAGCAGAAAAAGAAATCCCAGAAGCAGGATGAAAAGGCCAAGAGGGTCCAGAATAAGCCCCCTGACAGCGAGCAGTCTGAAGCTCCTAGTGCCAAGAAGCCTGCAGTTGCAGCGGGGAAGGCAGGTTCCGGCTCCGGTGGAGGCTTCACAGGTGAGAGGCTCCAGGGTGATGGTAGGTGAGGAGGATTTAGGAAACAGAAGTGAAAACATTCTCTTGTCCTTGTACCAAGCCTACATTATGTGTTAGAGCCATGGCAGCATATTCTACTGGGAGGCAGAAGACAAGGATTCTAGTCCCTCACCAGACACACGTCCGCACCTTTTCAGCTTGATGGAGAACCTGCCGAAGCTTGTTCTCCCTCATAATAGTCTTCAGGGACCCGGAATTGTCATCTTGCCATGGTAAGGATCGTAGGATAGGTCTAGAGATCAAAGTGAGCTTAGAGACCAGCTCTCTAACTTTACAGATGTGAAAGCTGAGGACCCAGAGCAGGGAAGCGACCTACCCAAGGAGTGAGTGTCAATGGTGGGCTTGAACCTCTGACTCCAGAATCACTGTTCTTTCTGTTCTAGCAGCTTTCCTTGCTCTACCAAGTTGCCACACTGGCATTGGAGGAGGATTTTAGTGGAACAGGGCCTAAAACTGATAGCGTGTCTCAATCTAGAATGCCATGGATATTTGGCTGAAGAACTTTGTCCAAGATGGTCACAAGGTGGATAAGGGGACCTGAAATGACAAGGATTTGGGAGAGGGTGACTTGTGAGGATAGACCCAAAAGAGGTGAAGTCTTCATTTTAGGGAAAATGAGGGTTGCAGGTTGTGAACCCTTGAAGGAAAAGGAGAGGGGAGGGAAGTGTGGACTTGTTCACCAAACCCCCTTGATTTCAGAGACAGCTTGGTGTGATACAGCACGGAACTAGGAATCAGGATATGTGAGTTCTGATCGTTGTTCAACTTTGTGGACGTCACTTCCTCTCTCTAGGTCTCTTTTCCCGTGTGTAGAATGGAAGGGTTGGACTAGCCAGGGATGGGGAACCTGCAGCCTCGAGGCCACATGTGGACTTCTACGTCTTTGGGTGCAGCCCTTTGACTGAGTCCAACTTTTACAGAACAGATTCTTTTATTAAGGGGGTTTGTTCTGAGAAGTTTGGATTCAGTCAAAGGGCTGCACTTGAAGACCTAGAGGGCCACATGTGGCCTTGAAACTGAAGGCTCCCCACCCCTGGACTAGGTCTTTAAGGAGCCTTTTAGCACTCACATTCTAGATTTTGTGATTCTGTGTGTATAGGGTGCCTTATAAATGAAAGATTGAGCAGTGATTCTTGATTGAGAAGACCTAATGGGTACATGAGAACAGTCTTCAAGTATTTGAAGAGAGGGTTAGACATAGTCTTCTTGGCTTCCACAAACAAAGCTAAGAGCTTAGGGGTCGAAGTTTCAGAGAGGCAAGTTTAGGCTTCGTGCAATTTCCTGATATTTAGAGCTATCAGAAAGTGGAGTGGGCCATCGCTGGAGACTGTGGGTTCCCCTTTACTAGAGATGTGCAAGGAAAGACTGGATGCCAACTTGTTGGGCATCATGTGAAGGGGATTTGGGCTCTAGTGTGGGTTAGAGTAGTTGCCCTCCAAGTCTGGGATTCTCTAATTACGGTTAGAACACAAGGTGGCAACAGAGACACCCTTTAGGGAAAGCAGAGACTGACCTAGCTCTCAGATGAGTATCCTAGAATGTCTGAGCTGGGGGGGCCTCAGTGGGCATCTAGTTCAGTTCCCTTACTTTGCAGACCAGGGAAAATATTCTTCAGAGAGAAGTGACTTGCCCAGCATCAGCCAGGGAATTAAGTAGCAAAGCCAAGACTAGGAAGGACCCATGTCTCCAGGCCTCTTTTCATTACTGTTAAGCCTTACATCTTACTTTTTTTTTTTTTAGGATTTTAAATTAAATTTAAACATTTTCCAATTATCAACACATCTGCTGCTGCTTCTTCCTTTCCTTCCCCTTCTCTTTCCCCAGCACCAGGGGAAGAAGAAGGACCAAACCTTGTCACAAATATGCATAATCAGGCAAAACAAATTCCCATGTTGGCCACGTTCAAAAACGTGTGTCTCGTTGTGCACGCTCTTTCTAAAGTAATTCTTGACCCAAATTCTTCTGACAGTCGTTGCTGCAAACAAGCCAGGTTCCTTGCTAGCCATGGACATTCTGCGCCAGCGGCTGCACGAGAAAATACAGGAAGCCAGTGGTCAGGTAGGTTTATCATCTGCAGACCCTCTCATCTAATCAAATATGGGCTTCTTCAGGTCTTACAAATAGAACTGCTATCTTTATTGAGTATTCCTTTCTTTTATGTTTTCTTTCATTTATTCATTCAACAAATAGTTCTTTATTATTTTGGTCTTATTTTTATTGCTATATTTTGTTATTACATTCATTTACTCCCCCCAACCCACCCTCAACCTTGTAACAGATTGAGAAAAAGGAGAGAGAAAAGCACTTTGGCAAAACCAACCAACATGTCCTCTGTGTCTGACTGGATGCAGTGTTCTACACCCATAGGATGTCCCCCCACCTCCCACCTTGAAGAAGGGAAGGACTTTCATATTCTCACCTCTTCTCTAGGGCCAAGTTTGGGCAATATAATTATCCAGAATTCTGTTTCAGTCTTTATTCCTTCTGCTTAACATTTCAACTAATATTTATTAAACACTTCTTGTGCTATGTATCATGTAGGTGCTAAGGGGGATGCAAGATAGGAAAGCTCCTTGCCCTCAGGGAGCTTAGAGTCTAGTCAAGGAGCTTACAGTTCAGATGCTGAAGAGGAGGTCTCTTGGCTAGTTGTTAATACCAACAGTCCTGAATTTTAAAAGTCTAGACTAGAGCAGATGAAGAGGTGTAAACTGTGTTTAGCATTGTTTCAAAAGGCAGCCTAGCTTAGCGAATAGAGCACTAGACTTAGAGCAAGGAAGAGCCAGATTCAGAACCCATCTCAGACACTTACTGACTATGATCCTGGGCAAATTACTTAACCCTTTCTGTCTATCTCATCTGTAAAATGGAGATAATAGTAGCTTCTGCCTCATAGAGTTGTAGTAAGAATTAAATGACACAGTGTAGGGAAAGTACTTTGCAAACCTTAAAGTGCAGTATTAGTTCAGATTCAGAGCTGGAGGGTGGGTCCATTTCTTTCATTTTGCAGATAAGGTAACTGAAGTCCAGACAGTTTAGGGGACTTGCTCAAGGTCACACAGATAGTAAATGACAGAGATGAAAAGACAGAGGAACCCAGGTCCTCATAAGTGTAAGCCATTATGATTAATAGGAATAGTTTGTTGGCATAAATAAAAAGATCTTTAACTATACTAGTTGTAAGTTCATGTTTCTGCATCTATGTAGATTCACTTTTCTTTAGCTGCTCTAATTAGGCCTTTAGAGGCTGCACATGAGATTGGCATACAGCAACCCAACAGGGCAGGCAGGATTATACTCCTTTGCTTCATGGGTAAGGGAGGGGGAGACAATTTTAAAAGTGAGTAAATGTGATATGTAGAGTTCTCTTCATTCTCCTCTATCTCTTACTGAGGCAGCATGATATAGGAGAAAAGAGTACCGACTTAGGCGTCAGGAGACCTAGATTCTCGACCCAGCTCTTTCTGTGTGAGCTTGAGCAAGCCTCTTCTTATCTCTAGGCTTTATTGTCCCATCTGTAAAATACAGGTGGGGGGTGGAAGGGATTAGAAGAGGTGATCAGTAAGGCCCTGGTCCTCTCCTGCTGCCCCTTTTGGAATTCTCATCTTCATTTGACCCCTCCAGGGCCACCCCAAAGACCTCTCTCCTGCAGCGCTGGAGAAGAGGCAGCGGAGGAAACAGGAACGGGAGAGGAAGAAGCGGAAACGCAAGGAACTCAGGGCCAAGGAGAAGGCAGCCAAAGCGGAAGCCAAAGCTGAAGTCCAGGAGGCTAACCCAGAGCCCCCCAAGGGGGATCCCCAGGGCCTGACCGAACTGGTGTTCAACAAGTTGGAAGTAAACGAGGGGCCAGTCAGTAAGGCCCAGAAGAAGAAGGAGAAGAGGCAGCGTGTGAAGGGGAACCTGACCCCCCTGACGGGAAAGAACTACAAACAGTTGTTGGAGCGTGTGCAGGCCCGCAAGGACAGGCTGGAGGAGCTGAAGGAGCAGGATGAGGAGAAGGCGAGGGAGATGGAGACCAAAATGAAGTGGACGAACCTTCTGTACAAGGCCGAAGGCGTGAAGATCCGTGACAACGAGGAGCTTCTGAAGGCAGCCCTGAAACGCAAGGAGAAGCGCCGGGCCCAGAGGAAGCGGCAGTGGGAGAAGCGCACGGCCCACGTGGTGGAGAAGATGCAGCAGCGGCAGGACAAGCGGCGCCGGAACCTGCGCAAGAAGAAGGTGGCCAAGATAGAGCGCCGCAAGGCCAAGGCTCGCAAGAAGGGCCGCATCCTGCCTGAGGACCTAGAGAAGGCCGGGCTCCACTGAGGGGCGGGCAGACTCTCCCAGCACTCCGGACACCCATCTCCCTAACCGCCTTTTCTCCTGGCTCTGGATTCCCGCCTGTGGCTGCCCCACGCAGCGGGGAGAGAGTCGCATGTGTTAAGCGCCTGCCGGGAAGTGGAGATTGAGTGACAGAAACTAAAAAGCAGTCCGTCCTCGAGGACTTTCTTAAGACACAGCTCAGGTCTTTCATAAAACCTTTGGCTTAGAGCTAGCCTCCTAGCTTTCTATGTGTGGGATTGCCTCTGGTACCTGTTTTCCCTCCCTTCCATCCCTTCCCCATTCCCCATTTCCCAATAATCCTCAGCCCATCTCTAGGGACCCGAGCCATGTGACACAAGAGCCTGACATCTATCCCAGCAGGACGTAGTACCCTGAATGGTGTATGTGGGCTGCTTGTAGGTTCTTCAGTCCCATAGGAAGTTCACATAGCTGGTTCAGGAGTATAGGGCAGCTCATGGATGTCTTAAACTTCTTGGACTCCAGAGAAGCCAACAGGTTTAGAAAAAAAAATTTTTTTTTTAAATTTTCTTTTTTTTGTGAACTGGACAAGCATCAGCAAACAAACATTTTCCATGTAAAAAAAACCAACAACAGGAAAAGAGGATCGTATATGAAACCATGAATCTCTGTTATACTTAGAGTTGTAGTGGTTAAGTTTTAAAACAAACGGTGGTTACATGATGCAGGACTGATTTAAGAATGAGGGAAACTTCTCCAGTATTTCCCTCCAGGGGACATGTTGGCCATCAATTGGATTGAATAGTCCCATTGGAAAACCAAATGGAGAATTCCATTAGGTCTTTTATCTACCTTTCCCTCTCCCAGTTATCACAGGAGTTGCTGGACCAACCTGCTTGGAACTCAAATAGGACGGAAATAATTGAGTTTGGGGGTTTTAGAATAAACAGTTAAATTCCCTTGAGTCTGTCGCTCTGTGTTTCTGTCTCTCTTTCTTTGTCTCTCTCTGTCTCTCTCTGTCTTCCTTCTCTCTCTTCTCTCTCTTTTTCCCGCCTACCCCCACCCCGTCTCTCTCCACCTGAACCTGTGAAGGTCAGCAAATGTTAGACAAGTTAAAGTTATCTAAGATAGTGTAAAAAAATTTGTTCGTTGAGAAAGCAAGCAATATGATATTGATTATACATGTAAAGTCATGTGAAACATATTTCAATATTAGACATGTTTCAAAAACAAGAAAAAAATAGAGTGAAAAAAGTATGCTTCAATCTACACTCAGAGTTCATCAGATCTCTCTCTGGAGGTGGATAGCATTTTTCATCAAATCAGTGATGCAAAGATACTTATCTGCAGGGTTTTATTATGTTCAGAATACAGGCTCTTCTGTATACAGAGTCAGAGAGCCCAGAGAATCAGCTTAACAACCTCACAAAGAATACTAATACATAAGCAGTATAGAAAAATGGAATTTCACAGGAAGTAGGAGGGGAAAATAAGGGTAGACACATCTGGGAACAATTACCAGAAAGGGGGAGGTGAAGATAAGGACACCTGTCAGACGATCAAAACAGGAGTTGTAACTTGTTTCCCAACCTTGTGTTCTAGCTTCCAGTAACTATCTGGAAGGTCAAAACAGAGTCTAGTGAAGTGTCTTCTTATTGTAGTGGTGGCAAGAAGTCCGAGCCAGAGTTTCTTTCCCCTCACAGTCTTTCTCTTATCACAATAGTAGCAAGAAGCTTGAGCCAGAAATTCTCTTGTCATCCTTCTCTATATTATGTGTTGCTTTAATAACCTACCTCAGAGGAGACTTAGAATCATAGGATTTGGATTGGCAGGGAGAAGGATAATTGCCCAAGGGGTGCCTCTTAGCAGAAATACAAGCACTCCACCAGGTCAGATAGCTGATAGGAGAGACCCTTGGGTACCTTTACCCTGTGATTATAGAAAATAAGACTCAGGGTAGCTGGGTTCAGATTGAAAGGAACCAATATAATGAGGAGTGACTTACCTAGCTTGACAGAGAAACAAGAAAGTCCCTCTTATTAGGCTAGAATTGGGGTTCCCATTGTTGCTATTTTGATACTTGGTCTCAAATACTGAGATACTGAGGTTGTACCCATCCTACAATGGTTAAATGGAGCTATTATCACCTATTCCCTCCCTCTCTGATACCCCCCTTTCCCCTACCCTGAGAAATTTTCCTGTTAACCCTGAGAGGTCATATTTTCATGGAGACAATATCTATGCTCTGGCTGTTCTCCATGGTTATAGGGTAGATAACACAGAAGGAAACACCTCCCCTGATGATATGCCAATCACCTGGAACATACTAGCCTCCTAGGTGTTGGCTGGTTCCCCTCAGTGGGCCACTCCTTCATCCTTCTGCTATAGCTGGAAGGGGATGTTTTCCAGTGTGTGGTCAGATTGGACTCTTGGGTTCAAAACAGGGAACAAAATGTCTGCAGCTCCGAATGGGCTCTGTTAGAAGACAGGAAAAGTGTAGGAAAAAGTACTGGGGGAGGTCCTGGGGGGAGGCATCAACAAGAGAAATGGCTATGGGTAGGGGGGCCTACTCTCCTAGTCAGAATGTACTAGGAAACCTAAGGACAAGAGACTGGGGATTCCACCCGAGGTCCAACCTGATCAGATGATGTTCCTCTTATTATATCATGGAGTCCGTAGGGAAAATATTGATGGGGTTCCAAATTCGATGATGTGCCAGAAATACAGAAATTCCTGGGATATCACCCCAAAGTTTAAGAACAGGAACTGGCAATATTGGGTAACCACTCCAGTATCTTTGCCAAGAAAACCGCAAATGGGGGATTACTAAGAGTTGGACGCAACTGAAACGACTGAACAATCACAACAAATCCCTGAGAAGGTGGATAGGGTGGTATCTTTTAGAGTAGATCATACTATCCATTGCAGTTCCTCTGAGAAAATGGGTGAGGCAGAGGAGCTAATCTGCTGGGTGGAGTACAGCCTTCACGTCATCTACCCTGTTCACGAAGTGGGGATGCTAATGCCAAGGTCTCCACCTTCTACCCTGACCTCCTCACCCCTTTTAAGGAGACTGAGATATATTGGGGGTGGGGATGGTCCATCCACCTGTCTTACTAGGGCACCAAAGGTTTTATGCCCCTGTAACTATAAGGTGACCACATGGAGAGACTTGCTACTATTTGGTACTTTTAGACACTGGAGTTCCAGGTATCTGATTTCTGGGAAACTCCAACCCACAACACTGCCTTTTATTCCACTGTCCAGGTTTGGATCTGGTGCCACACTGTGGCTAGCTCAGGTCACTACACACATTGCTGTTGGCCCTTTCCAATCAATGAAATGGGACAATAGTGGCATCACCCAAAGATGAGTTAATTATAAGAAATGACTTGTTGCACAAGCTTAATAGATCAGATAAGTACCTGGGATGGCTCTGCTCCTATGAAACAGCCCACATGTTAGCCTTAATGAGTGGGTGACTGTTCATGTGTTGTCCCCATCCCAGTGGGTGATACATTTTCATAATATCAAATGTGGGGCTGCTGAAGGAGATAACAACTGTGCTAACTCAGTAACTGCTGGACCCTGGAGTCCTCAAGGGTACCATTTCTCAATTCCAAGAGCCTTGTCTGGCTGGTATACAAGGTCAGTGACACAGAGTCTGATCAGAGATTACTGGCACCTGAATAGGGAAGTTGACTTTATCGCTCCATCAGTCCTTGATATGGTGACCATTACAGAGAAATTTGTAGCCATTCCCAGAGATTAGTCTGCAGTGGCCAGTTTGGCTAATGCATCCTTCTGGATTCCTGTTTGGATAGAGGACCAAGACCTTTACTTGGCTAGGCATCAATACACTTTAAGGTCCTCCCACAGGGATATTTAATAGCCCTGCAATTTGCCTCCTGGGGATGAGATTGACTGTGGCCAAATTTAAGCTTCCTTTTGATGTGAGGGCAATCTATTATCAAGTCATCCCCTGTCTAGGGAGCCTCACTGTGGAGAAATATCACCCCAAGTTCAACAACAAAGGGCTTTTCCCAGAAGAATCATGTTGGAATAAGCAAGCTGACTGGACCTGTACAGCTCAAATAGTCTCTATTGCCCAGTAGATTGATGTTCAGACAGGTCGTGGTAATGAGAAAAGAGTGCAGCAATGGACCCCCGAGAGAGGTCCTCTTCTACATCACCTATGATGAATCAGCCCAGGGCCAAGCAGGTTGTGAAATTTGTTATCTCTGTCACTGCATACAAAATCCATTGCCCAGTAAGATCCTATGGGAAGTGTAGCCAGCTCTGATCAAGATGATCCAGGACAATCCCAAAGGACCCCTAATGAAAAATGCTGTCCACCTCTAGAGAGAGAACTGATGAACTCTCTGGCAGAATGAAACTTTTTTCACTTTCTTTATTTTTCTTGCTTTTTTTCCAAGGTAGCTAATATGGAAATATGTTTTTTGTGATCTCACATGTATAATTGATGTATTGTTTGCCTTCTCAGTGGACGGGTGAGAAGAAGGAGAGAGGAAGAGAATTTGGAACTACTAAAAAAAGAATGTTAATTTTCTTTGTTTTTTGTATTTTCATAACCTTTTTATTCTAATACTAGCAGTATTATAAACTACTTGGTAAAGATGTGATTATTTGCTCTCATTGGGTATTTTATAATTGGGAACAGGAATTGATGTAGTATGTCACCTTGTAATGTGTTTATGACAATTGTCATTTTCTTTTTTACATTAGCCATACTTTGGAGTGATTATTTTCATTCTACACTTTTGTGGTTAAAAAATTCAAGCATTTCATTTTAAAATTTGATCTGTTTTGTTTAGAAATAAATGCCTCTGTAATTTTCCCAGAATCATGGATTATTATTATTATTGTCATTTTCAGTGTGTGGTAACCTAATTGTTTCAGGATCATGAGAACGGAATGAACAGTAATGATAACCATTTTCAAATTTGCATTTCTTCTGCTATTGATATCCAAACTAGGTTCATCAATGTCTGTTTTCTCATCAGTGGCATGGTTATGAATACTTTTCTATACGTACAGTTTTCCCAGTTATGAATAATGGGCATTGGCACAAAAATTGATAGTAACTCAGCCTTCCACCCCTATACCCCAACCTCTGAACGCTAAGAAAATAAATAGACCTGATTATTTTATATATATGAGAGGAGGAGAGACAACTACGTTATTGTGCTTCAGACATTTTTTTGTGTGTGTTTGATGATTGATTTCAGGACAACAAAAAGCCAACTTCTATCACATGATTGATTTTGACCAGTCTTTGATAGTTCTCACCAGGGGCTGAAAACAGAGAAGGCAAAGTAGATGGGTTTACTGTGAGTTTGCTATGGCTTTGCTATGCTGTTCCTTCATCACAACATTTCTCATCATAGAACTCTTTACATTGCCCTTTGGCATCCTGAGGTTCAGAGCATAGTTTGAGAACTGCTGTTGTAGAACAATTAGATTTTAAGCAAAATAGTTATCTGTTGAAGTCCCTGTGATACAGTTTCAAAGTGCTAATGACAGTTACATATAGCTATCAACCTATGATACAAACCTGTTCAAATCTGTAACCAGGTGACAAGCATCTTTTCTGATGAAAAAAAAAGAAATTTATCAATATTCATGGAGGCTTCTGTATGCTATCAGATTCTGTGAAGAGACCCCTGAAGGATGCAAAGAATAAAGACTGCAAAAGATGCTGTTTCCATAAAACACAACTTGAGAAAAATCAAAGTCATCATAGGGGGCCAGTTGTTTCCATAGCAACAATTTTATAAATGGGAGAGACATTCCTAGGCAGCCAAAATTAAGACTATAAAGGCTGAAAATTGGTCCGTATAGAGACCTGAGAATATAATAGGGAATTACGCCACTTTGAGTAGTATGAGATAGGCCAGGCAGGAGGTGTGGAAACTGGAAGTCCTTATTCATCCGTGGGATCCT